AGAGAGAAGAAAACACCGAAGTTTCATAATTCAGCAAAGCAAGCTGCCAGGGAAGCCAAAGCTCACCTCGTTCCCTGGATTCAAACCCTCCCTGCCACCCTTCCCGCTCGTCATGCATAATGGGATGAGATGTTTTCACACAGTAAACAAGTATGCAAGCTTGAAGACAGTTTAAAGGAAGCTCTGACTCCAGGCCCTGCTTTGAACTTCAGAAGAGCTGCCTTCCTCTCAGAGCAGTGTCGTTAGTCAGCAGTGTCGTTAGTCAGCCTTTGGAGCTGTTAAAACAACTGAAAATGTAGTCATAATCCGTAAGATATACCCACCGCACTGCGCATCGTGGGCCCTCCTTCCAAACCTACCATCAATCTGGTGCGCCTTCGGGTATTTCATAACAGAACGCATTTTTCAAACAGCTCAGCCGCTCTCTGCCAGCCTTTTGCTACTAATGTAGTCCCTTGGAATAGAACTGCAACACCGCTTCAGAAGTTTTTATATTTGATGTCACTCCAGATTTCTGATGTCTCAGAAAACATAAGAACATAGAGAAACCCCTCAAAGACAGCCTGTATGTGAAACCTTTAGCCTGAAGCCATCTAGATGGATCTAAGAGGTTTTCTTGTCTTACAATCCATCCACAGAAGACAAACAAGCACTTCTTGGCCCATCATGCCCCAAAACAAAAAGCTCATTCTATTATTAGATTGACCCCTTAGGATAACCTGAAAAATGTGTTTTTCCACCGAGCAGAACTCCTTCCAAGCTCACTGCTGTATCCTTTCCACCCACACCCGCCACCCCAGGGCTCCTCCAGCACACCCCTGGGCAGACCACCCGAGCAACCCGCGCCTCCCCAGGCGTCCTCCCAGGCATCCTCCCTTTTCTTTGGAGACTCCACCAGTGGTCTTTCATCACTGCTTCCTGTGGGCGAGGGGGTGAAATCTGGCACCTCCCTGATCTCCTAACGCCCCTCTTCAAATGGCTGCTGCCTTTGCATCCCTTTCCAGGCCCCCAGTCTTGTGGGAGCGGCAACATTCAAGGGGATGGCCCCTTCGGGCTTTTAATCTCGGTTTTTCCATTTTTCAGAATCGGCTCTGAAATATCATCGCCTCTGTGCTACCAGACTCGCCTCAGGTGACTGTCATCCCTCAAGTGCGCACATCGGTGCCCTTCCGTCCCTGCTGGGGGTGGGGGCGGGGCTCTGTCTCATGCACCGCCCCCTCCCCTCCCCATGGTTCTCTGCACACAGCCCCTCTCCAGGCTGCAGGCCTCTTCAAAGCTGCCCTCTCTCCACCTGCTGTCCACCTCACCAAGCCCTGGCTGCCCCCGCCATCTGCTCCTGTTCACGCCTTTCCTCAGCCTGTCACAGGGACTGGAGGCAGACCTGCGCATCCTGCGAATATCCCCGGCATAAACGTAATTCTCAGCAACACTGTTCCCCTCCAAGCCTTATCACCTCCCCTCCACACAACCTTCTTGGCTCCCTTCCACGTCCATCTCTCTCCTGAAAGCCCTTGTTCCGTTCTTACTTTCCAATCTCACACATTGCCCTCAAAAGCCCAGACTGACGTTATCAGAGGGCAACCAGATGTCCCTGTTTGCAGAGCCTGTCTCTGTCCTGGTAATTCTGTCCTTGGCTACACCGAGTCTCTGTGCCTGTCCTTGGCCAGGGAAGTATCGTATCGCCCAGGGATGCCAGTCCTCTGCCCCTTGGTCCACTGTGAGCCACATTTCTCTCCTCTCCCTCGACGCCATAACATAGAATAACTGATTTGGGAAAAGTTGCTCTATGTTTCATTAATTCATCTTGGATACTGGGAGCTAAAGGCTTTTTAATATAGCATGCAAATAAATGTAAATTTATGTACTTATGCAAAAATAATATAAAAATATGCCTTTAGATTTTCTGGAAAAAGTCTGATCACTCTATGAATTCCTCCCCTTGTCAACAATGTCACTCTGTAATTTCTTATCCCTTCAGCTCATTGCTCCCTTAATTCCTGTCCACCCCCTGCTCTCTCGGCCTCCCTTGTCTTGTGCTAACTCATTATTAATACTAAACACATTATTTCCCTTCTCCCTTCTCGCTATATGGGAATTTAAACACATACATGAAGGCTAAAACTATTAGAAAATTGTCAGTTTTCCCTGGGGTTTAATTTATATCTCTCTTGTCAAGTCTGACCTTCGATTTACTTTCATGAATACTATCTGCCTCCCAAGTCATTACTGCTTTTTAACAACGTTAACAGGTTCGTATTTCTGCTTAAATCGCATCTCTCTGGCACTGTGAGTCTCTATTAATTAGTTAACGAGTAATTGTTCTGTGCAGTTCTCTGCAGTCACTGCCGACCACCTGGTCTCCACTTGTGGTAGAGGACATGGCTTTCTTCTTCCTGAACACCCCCCAGATTGCTTGTCCCCCTTTCCTCGCCTTCCTCTCTGAGCATTAGGGCTGCCGCAGACACACCTTCCACCCCATGAGTTTTTCTCCCACGACCTGCAATCTGCCCTGCCACCGGTTCCTTCCCTGGGACCTCCTCGGGGGATTCTTGGTGCTCTCCAGTGCTGTGTTCTTCAAACTCCTTTTGTCTTGCCCTTTGACCCTGGCCTGGCCTGGCTTGGAGAGGCATCCCTGGCCGTCCCCTCACTCATATACTCCTCTCCCTGAGTGCCAGGCAACTGTCAACACTCAGCTGTTTCCACCTCCCTTTGCTGCCTAAGTCTGAGCCCTGTCTCTTCCCTGGGACCTCCCTGGCCAAAGGACAGCCTCTGATCTGCCCGCTGACCCCTTCCTCTTAACTCAGGGGCTTGCAGACCAGTCTGGTTTCTGTGAGGGTAGAGATAGGACCTTTTCAGACTTAACTAGAGATTTCTGTTCTTGTATTTAATTTGTCTCTGTGACATACGTGTGCTAATATTATCCCCATTTATATGGCTGAGCAAAATGAGGCACAAAGAGGGTAAATGACTTGCCCAAGGCCCCAGAGCTAGTGAGTGACCAGCGTTGCAATTCTGACCCAGGCCAGAGCGGCCCTGGAGCCTCGCCCTGTACCTCTGGAGTGTATGTGAAGGCCCTCTTCCTCCCTCCTCCATCCAAGGCCACAGAAACACAACTTTCCTGTGCAGCTTGTGAAGGGACAGGAAAGAGGGAGTGTGATGTCTTGGGGCTGAAGGGCCTGAGGAGTCCAGAGGCTCCTGCAGCACCAGTAGGAGGGGGACCCGTGCTCAGCCCCGTGGGTCCCACAGCCATGGGCTGGGCTCTCGGGGGCAGGCTGGGGAGAATGGAGGCCGGATGCATCATCTGTAAGATCACCAAGCAGTGTTCCAAGCTCCCCAATGGGAGTCACACTGATCACAGTCACTGGGCAGTTTCCAACTGCAAGAGTCTAAACTCCTCAAAATCTGTCGGCTTGCTGCTCTCAACCCGCCTCCGGTCTGGATAGTTCTCCAATATATCAGGATGCACTAAGAGAAGCCTCAAGAGTTTATCGTCATCACTCTTTTCTCCTGGCAAGACCTCCAAAGCAGCCAATGTCTCACAGCCTGGCAGTGCTCCGTTGTTGCCAGCTGACCCGGCAGGCAGGGCCCCGCCACCGTCCTGGTCCCCGAGCACCAGCCCTCCTGTGCTGGCCAACGGCTTGCTCCTTTCAGAAAGGAAAGTGCCTGGCATTTGTCAGGGATCTCAGGTGTCTTGAAAAGCTCCAAAGGTGAAACAGAAAACTCTCCCTGTGCGATTTTCCTCTTTGATCTTTTGTCTCATGTGTTCCCCTTGGGGATGAACAAGAAATACTTCTCTGAATAATTCATAGGCCCCGAGGTAGAAACACGCTGCCTCTTTTTAATAAAAAGGCTGGGTACATGGTGGTGATTATACCTCTCTTGCAATGCTTTCAGCAAAAGCACAGAGATCTGAAAAGCTCTTTACAAATTCCTCTTACAATAGTGAGATAAAAATTAAAAACCATGTAATATTTTTAATCAAACAGACGAATGTTGGGATAATATGTAAAATTATTTATAAATCCGTATGGAGCTGTAATTATTATAAGGTCTGATTTATTTTTAAAACTGAAAATGATTGTCTTTAGTTTTCTACTTAATAAGCACCTACTAAGTGCCAGGAACTCTGCTAGGCTTGTTACGTAAATCATCTAATTAGTTTTCACAATATCCCACCAGGGTAAGTAACAGCCCAATTCCCAGAAACGCCAAAGCTCCTTAGAGGTTAAGTGACAAGCCCAGGGTTCCCCAGGAGTCAAGACCAGCACTGAGTCCAGCTCTGACTCGTAAGTGCACACTCGTCCCACGGTGCCTAACTCCTGGCGTGTCAGCATTTTTCTGCTGAAAACCGGTAGTTACCACTCAGCCCCATCTATACTTTGCAACATTACCGTGGGAAATGGCAAGATGATGAAGGCTTTGGGCTTCGTCGCAGAACATTTTACTTATTAGTTACAAAACCACATCCTCTAGTACTGGACAGACACTCACAGCCTATCTAGTCAAAAGCCTGCATTTTGCAGAAAGGACAATGAGGTGCAGAGAGCTTACAGGCCTTTCCCAAGGTTAAAGAGCAAGTAAGTGGTGCCATTGGGACCATCCCCAGGGTGTGGATACCTCCATGGTGGCTGCTGCAAGCAGTGCAGAGACCAAGATGACAATGACAGTGCCCAGGGCCACAAGAATGTCTTTATAAAACCCAGAACCAGAGGGTGGCTTGGACTGCTGGCCAGGAGACCAGTGACCCAAACTCTCCATAGCGCAGAACAGGATCACTGAGTAGGGCTGCTAGGACTATGCACTGCCAACTCCCAGGGTGTCATGTGGATAAACTATAGTAGGAATGGTACCCACTGGCTTCATGCAGTGTGACAGGCTGGCAAGCAAACTGCATGAGGCCTTTGGAACTAGAAGAGGGTTTGAGGGCTGTGTGCTACCTGCTGCTTCCAAGGGCCGCCCCCATCCAAGAGTAGGGGTCGCAGCTCGGGTCTCAGACTCACCAGTCGCTGCATGCTCTTCACGTGGGTGGGGCTGATGGATAAGGCTTCTTCATACCACCGCCGAGCTTCATCGATGTTTCCTCGGAGCTCAGCGACCTGGCCACGCATGTAGAGGACATTGTGGGACATTGGGAAGAGGTTGGCAGCTTCTTGGGTACAGGCTGTGGCTTCTGCAGGCTTCCCAATGCCAATGTAGACTTCAGCTGTGGGGAGGAGAGCAGAGAGCACATGCTTTCCTGGTTTATTGTCCTTCAGAGGCCCTATGAGCAGCTGTACTCTGGTTGGGGACATTTGCATTCCCCATGGGAGGCTGGCAGGGCCCAGAGCTGGCTGATCCCCCACCGTGGGTGGAAATGCTGCAGTCCCTCATGCCCACTACACAGGGACTCGAGTCGCCACGCTGCAAGCCTTGCAGGGCAGACACAGGTCACCACCAAGTACAGGGAAGTGAGGCCTGCCTGGGCCCTGCCCCCAACCTGAGGACACGATGAGCACAGGGACAGCAAACCAGAGGTGCACAGACCCTCACAGGGCAATGGCTCTGCCCTGTTCTCTTGATGCTGAAGTTGACAAGGGCAGCAGGCTGTGGCTTTCATGCCCATAGGTGTGCCATAAAAACTGCTGCTCCATCAGATCTAGCCCCCGCCCCAACCAGGGACAGTCACCACACCCTGGAGACTCCTAACTGTGCCACAACAACAAATCCCTCTGAAAACCAAGCTGCCACTTTCAATACAAGCAGGGAAATGACCTTCCACCAGTCCTTGGTCTCAGCTATCATCTCCGCAGGGAGCCAAAGCCCTCACGGCCCTGGCCTCTCTGAAGAGCCCACCCTGCATTTCCGAGGCCCCCTCTCCGCCTCTCTGGCGCCTCCGCCCAGTGTCCGGGTAGAACACCTCATCGCGCCCCTCAGGCCCCTGCCCCTGGGGGCCTCGTCTGATCCCGGCACTGCCAGCTTCCCAGGCTGCTGGGCCTGAGGCTTTCAGGACACCTGAGTCCCCTCCGCGCCTCCCCAGGGCCAGCATGGCCACATCTGTCAAGCCAGGGCCTGGAGCCTTCCTCAGGCTCACCGACCCCTTCGCCACCCGCAGGCCAGCCTCTCCATGCAGCCCTGGCCTTGGCGATTGGCCGTACCCTCGCAGTGAAAGATGTCTGTGCCCGTATCTTCCAGTTACGTGAACGCATGTATGAATTCATATATCATGTATACGTAATGTGCAATAGCATTCTAAGTAGACATGTTTGAAGAACGTGATAAAGAAAGAAAGAGAAAGGTTTCACTACTTTCTTTGCATACCTCATCAAGTTGTTTCCTGGAGCTCACTCTGGAAACTGCCTCGACTGCGCGAAGTCTCCTCTCCCCACCCCTGCCTGGGCCACCAGCCTGTCCCCCACAGCTGCCGCCAGATTAACCTCCTGAGGCCCAGCTTCGGGGCGGCCATCCCGGCTGCTCAGAAGGCCTCCTTCCCTGAGGCCCGCGGCTTCTGTTCCCTGCCCGGCAGACAGCATGACGAGGCTCCCCTTTCGCTGACGTCCTGCAAGAGCTGCTCCCCCGTCCCACTCCGCACCGCCCATGTCCTTCCCTGCCCGATTCCTCCCTGGTCTGTACCAGCTGCGCCCCCCAGAATGCAGGCCATGAGCTACAGGAGGGCAGGGATGGTGTCTGCTGTCCACTGCTGTGTCCCAGGGACTAGAAGAGTGCCTGGCACATAGTCAGAGCTCAGTTAACAGCTGTTGAATGAATGAATGATAACGGCAACAATGATAGTAGCTAATACCCATTAAACACATACTTTGTGCCAGGAAGCCTTTCCATTTCTCATTTCACCTTTGTGGTGATCCAACAGATACTATTATTTTATCCCCATTATACCAATGAGGAAACTGAGGCACAGAGAGGCTGAGCAACTTGTCCAAGTTCTCAGGGCAAACTAGAGGCAGAATCAGGCTCAGATCTCGGCCCCCACAGAAAACAGTGTCTCCTCTGCCCCAAAATAACATCCAGATTCCTCTGCCAGGCGTTCAGAGCCAGGAATGCCACCCTGCTAACCTGTAACCTTTCTACCGCTTCCCTGTACCCCCCGGCTCTGGCCATGGCAAATGCTGTTTCCGTACACTTAGTAGGTGTTCCCATAGCCATGCTTTGTTGTTTATTCTGTTGCCTCTGCCCATAACACTGTCACCTCAGCCTCCTTCAAGGCCCAGCTGGGTCGCCACCATCCCAGGAAGCCATCTCTGACCCAGCCCTCCCCTTGGCTGAAAGGGGAGCCCGGCCTCTGAGCTGGCTGATACCTGGGTCCCTGCAAGCCTTTTTGTGAGGGGTCTTGGGCACGTTCCTGGACAGCAGACCTCCAAGGGAAGGCTCTGCTACAGATCTATCTTTCTGAGTCTCCACCTCCAACTTCAAGCCCGGGGACTGGGAAATGGCTGATGTGTATTGTCACAGGTGTAGTTGGTGGCAACACTGCTGACCTTTTGGCCTCATTGGCCTGGTTGGTCCTTCTCCTCAGGCACCCTCACTTCCAACATTGGCGTATTCAAACCAACGACTGACTCCCCAGGCCGAGAAAAGGCCCTGGAAAAAGCAGGCCTTGCCCTAGCCCAGGTGTGCCCTGTACCTTCTGTCTGTCCTTCCGTCTGCCAGTCCCAGGGACTTGTGGAGGGGTGTTCTGGGCGATTCTCGCAGACACAGAAACTTGGGCAATTCAAACATAATTTACTGAGCCCAGAAGGTGGACTCCCAGGTGTGCCGGCCTCCTGTTCTCAGAGTTCAACTCTGAAGGTATCTCCTGAGCACCTATACACACAGGGACTCTACAGGGACTAAGAAGACATTTCTCTATCCTTCAGTTTGGACCAGGCAAAACCTGTCCCTTCTGAGAGATAAACACTCTCATAATGACACCGGCAGGCTGTCTGCCATCTTTCAGTAACACAATTCTCCAGATGCTCTTGCCAGAAAGAGTTGAGTGTGTGCCCACTGCAGTTTTGGGTTACCTGAGCGTGGTGGCAACTTGGGAGAGCTGTACAGAACGTTCCTCTCACTGTACGCTTGGCTCCTGACTCGCTGCCATCTTGGGGGTGAGTTTATGTCTGTTTCCAAAATCCCCAGGCCTAGAGCTGCCTTTGGGTTCACGAGGCACACGAGCCTCTTTCATCTAGAGCACTCTGTGTGCAAAGGTGACTTTGGAGAGTGGGGACTGAAGGCATCCAGAATTTTTATAATAAGAATCAGGGGGAGGGAACCTTAGACACCATCATGACAGTGTACATGTAAGTCCTGGTCCATAAGGGCCCTCCATGAGACCAAATATAACGCCAACTACTCATTTATCACCGTGTCTTCATAAGCCTCAGGTCTGACGCACCTGCTCCTGTTACACAAGGGTAAGGGTTAGGGTTAGGGTTAGGGTTAGAGTTAAGGCTAGGGTTAGGGTTAGGGTTAGGTCTAGGGCTAAGTATAGGGCTAGTGTTAGGGCTAGGGTTAGGGTTAAGGCCAGGGCTAGGGTTAGGGTTAGAGTATAGGGCTAGTGTTAGGGCTAGGGTTAGGGTTAAGGCCAGGGCTAGGGTTAGGGTTAGGTCTAGGGCTAAGTATAGGGCTAGTGTTAGGGCTCCTCCTGCCTCCAAGGCACTGCTGGGGAAGCCCAGGCTCTAGGGTTCCTAGCATGTAAGCCGCAGTGTCACGAGAACATGCAGGATGTCTGGTTCCTGCCCCTGGGATTTTGGTGAATCAGTTGACTCCTCTGGGCCAGTTCATCTGTCATGGGGACCCTGGCCCTGGCCCACATCTCTTCCAGGGCTGTGGTAAGGATCAGACAAGATGGCGGAAGCCTGGAGCCCAGAGTGAGCTGAAAGCAATGAGGATTATGCCTGGTCAAGCCTCAGCCTCTGGGAGACCCGGAGTGAGGAAGCTACGATACAAAGACATAAATTGACTCATTCAAGCCCCAGCTCTGTTTCGCTGTGTCAGTGTATTTGGGGGATGCAGGTTCAGCCTTTCCATTTCACCATGGCCCCTTTAACACAGTGACTTAGAACAGACAGTCCCTCTTGGAGAGCAAATGATATTTTAATGGGGAACAGTGTCTTAGGCTCCAAGAACGAAGCTTTAGTGGTGGGATTTCAGACATTGATCAGATAGTCTGAGATGGGGTTGGGGGAGGAAGACAAAAGGATTCCTGTGGTTTCCCAAAATTCCTGAAATCACCCAGAATGTGGCCTTTTCTGCCTAGGCATGCGGCTGGTCCCCTAGAACACGGTGAAGCCACACAGTATTTACTATGAACGTCCCCTGCTTGAGAAGCCTGGGAGTCTACATCACAAGCAAGGAGCAATGTCTCCCTTCAAGATGGCTTCTCGAATTCTACCCCAACCCATGGGGCCAGCAGCTCCCTCCCTTGTGCTCCCTGCACTTCGTACGACCACTGTCATCACCTTGACCACACCATCTTTGCCAGGAGACCCTCCGATCTCTGCTTCTCGTCTCTATCAGGGACCCATCTGTCACAGCCACGTGCCTGGCCCCTCCCCAGCTGTCCTCCTGGCTCCATCTGATCACTGATTTGGGGAGAAGGACTCAAGCCTGCTTGCCTGGTCCCTCGGAGCTCTCTGCCCGGGGCCTTTGGATGCCTGCATTCTCTGTCTGCTCGTCCTGCAGGCTTGTCACGGGCTCTGTCCCTGCAACAGGGAGGCCAGCGATTTGGGATGGGTGAATTGAACTCAGCTGTAAAGCACCAGGGAGCCCACTTGAGACGAGAGGCAAGCCACATTCTCCCATCCAGCCTCCCGGCAACGAAGCTGGGACTTTGATCTCCATCTCCCTCCCTTGTCTTAACTGGTTTGGAACTCAGGGAGTAAAGAAAGGAGTATCATTTGCAGTTCCCTAAAGACTCCACAATATAATTGGTATTGTTTTCCCCACTAAACTATAGAGGGCTCCTAGCCACAATCATCTCCGCATCCCTTAGCAGAGGATCTAGCACTTAGTAGGTGCAAGTCTGCAGATTAATGGATGCTGAACGAGGGTCAGAGCTACCATTTCCGTGGCACAGGTCAGTGACGAAAGTCACGGGCCAGAGAAGCAACAGCAAATGAAACTTCCCTGTCCCTTTCACCAAGGGCTACATTCAATTTAAAAAAATAAAGGGCCTTGTGAGCCTATTAAGAGCTCTAAGAACTTGTACCGAAGGAACAGCAACAGAGT